CAGTCAATACCAAAGTATTTGATACCTGAGAATCAAAAAATATATTCCCAGCAAACGGGATCAAATGTCTATCTGCAGGAATTCCAGAAATCCTGCCAAGCAGACAGTCAAAAGGTTAACAGTCACACTGAAGCACGCCGTGACCTTCAGCTTAGTCAAACACGACCTCACTGTCAATAGACCGTCAACATGCAATAAAAAATAAGGTAACAAAAACATACGTTTTTAATCAAAATCACACAATAAAAGCTCAAGCGGGATCTGAACAAAGGTTAAAATATATGACAGGGAGAAGAAACAAATAAATGAAAACTGCCCAACAAAAAAGGCTGTTGAGGGATTTTTATCGTTCTCTTTTCATTATACTCAGATTTAATGTTTTGTTCCATATCCAGCCTGAATGTGTTATACGTTATATTTTGACAATTGTTACGATACGGTAAGTCAGTGTAGACAATTATGTGACCTCCACGTATGATCATGCAAAGTAGGCAGTTACATCATGACAAATCTACAATTTTAGGATTATGTCTATTATTGAAGCAGTACTAATAACGAAGTAGTCTATAATTATACAAATTAAAGCGATGATCAAACATGCCACAAACATCAGAGAACCATCACACAATAATTTCAAGTTGGTAATACTACAATTAATTAACGTAAAAGGCAAGAGGTTGGTTAAAGTAACCATGCCAGGTTGTCTGAGCATTGCCTTCCTTATTTAATATTCAGTCATTTGCCTTTACCAACCTCCTTCAAGTATCCGACGCTCAATGTTAGTCTTTGCAGTTATTGTATGCTCAGCCTCAAGGATCATGTAATTAAAAACCTGTATATATGCGGATATATGACTGAACCAATTAAAAGTTCTTCCATTTTAATAGCAGTATTAGTTTTTACCTAAGAATTTTTCTCGAAAAGAATCTTTTTTATAGCTTTTTACATTAGGGATGATATTGTTCTCTTGAAAGGTGTTCAAAGAAGGTAAACTGAAATGTCGCTCAAAAAATACGATGAACTTTACGGGGCTTGTCTGAGAGAGTTGAATTCACTGCTTGTTCAGAAGAAGAGAAACACAGAGGTTGAAGGCGTATCACCCATAATTCCATCCATCCTAAAAGAAAAAAAAAGACTTTGGTACTCAATAAATCTTAAGAGCACTTCCATCTAGGTTAGAACGCGAACGAGCTTGCAAAGTGTCTACAATAGGAATCAGCAAACAGTGAAACAACTTACCATAAGCGATAGTAGTGGCGCGTTTCCAGAGTTTTACAAAAGTAGGCTTGAAGTGTATCTATGCTCCGTAAATACTGAGAGTGCTGCTGCGTATTATCGCACAACCACGTACATCGCTAATAAACGACTTGACTTACCCTTCAGTTTTGGATGAGTTCTGGCAAATATCATATCGTCCACAAACTCTTATCCCCAAGATGTAGATTTGAAAGAAAGCAATGTTTGCTTAATCTGTCATAGAATACTTAGAAGTTCAAAAAAATGTTGTTATCAGAATCACCAGACGATAAAACTCTCTGAGAGAAGCTACAGTGAATGGCTAACCGTCTGAATCCTTCAAAATATCGCTCTATATTTCCTTAAGTCCCGTAAATAGTGAGAGAAATCAGTCATTAAACGCTAGAATTCTCTTCGAATAATCCCAGATCGCTGATTGGTTTGAAGAACTGTCTTCCTTAATGCATGTGTGCTCAGCGAAGTTGGGTTTATGAAAATTGAAGTTACCTATAATCAGGGTATGTGTGTAACTGAGACGAGTAGAGCAGGATCGTCCTCCAAGCGTACTATTATCATACTCGAAGTCAGCAGTGGGCTTCCTGTAAATGACTCCAACTAGACACCACGAGGTGTTAGACAATCTTACTAGGCACCATTCGGACTCGTCGAAATTGATAAACTCTTGAGTGTGCAACTGACGTGCTGCAAGGTACGATCGTAGGTTCAGGGCTACCCCACCCTCAATTCATGCTTTTCTGTGGTTGTGAAACGAAGACACGTCAGGTATTGCTAGCTCTTTGTCCGTAAATTGAGACGTCCATGTTCCGGATATACTCAGCTTATGATTTTGATTTGAAACGCATGAGCTACCTCGTCCTGTTTATCCACTTTTTGGGAAAATAGGAAGGTTATATATGTTAGTCCGGGTGTAAAATACTGTTACTTCTACTCTTGTCAATAAATTCTTGCGCCTCAAATAGTGTTTTGTAAATTGCCACTCTAAATTGTCACACAACATAATCAGAGTCTGTGTTTTCTGACACACCTTGCATAATGAGATTTCTTCCACGAAACCACGTGTCGTGAGACTCCTTAAAGCCGCTCCTGGTGAGACCGCTCTCGGAATATGGTATATCAGGCAGCATTCTAACATCCTCTTCTGGTTTCAGCAAATGACTGGTCAGCAGAACATCCTCTACATCAACAGAGTAGGTGAATTTTACATGTTGGAGTGGTGAATGCCTTTGGCACTTGCAACCCTTCCTTCGAACAAACTGTGTTCGTGTCAGTGGCTCAATTTTGGGAAGCCCAAGCTTCCTGTTCATATCTATCCAGTGTACACTGCCATTTTATTTTCCAACTGAGAATATGATCAGGATTGTCTTTGAGATTTAGAATTATGAGAAAATCATCACGAACTGTGATCATTTCCTATGTTTTCGGGTACATTGAGTTTTAGGTCTTTTTATTTGGCAGGTGGAATGCATTTCGTATTTCCATGCTCCCTACTGACTGGTTGGGCAATCTTTGGAGATTGCACGGTTGAATCACAAACTGATGTCACTACAAGATCTGGGATTTTCAGAACTTTCGACGGTGACGTTTGGTTAGTTTTAACCCTGTTGATGGGAGTCCAGTCTCATACAGAAGAATTTCAGGGAACTACAATTATATCTTGCTAGCCTGTGCTGGGGGATAATATTTTGTTGAGAGAGTCCAACACAGTGGATGTCATGGAGGTCCTGAGTTTCAGAATACCCTCACTGATGCCGATGTATATTCCATCGATAAGTTTGTCGAAAACCCTCTTCTTCAATTCACCTAGCGTCTTTGTTTGTTTATCAGTTTCGGGCCTCCCTTATTCCGGGTTTCTCGAGTGACCGTGGTGAAATATAAATTGTTAAATGGTTCAAATGGTTGTAGATAGAATAGAAGAAGCTTTCGCTTAGCAAACTTCCGTGTCTAGTATCAGGAGATCACCAATAATTCCAGGCAGGAACATAGGTATATTAACGATAACAGAGAAAAAAAGAAATTGGCAAATCATAGTAAGATACTATCCTTAGTCCTTAAAAATAGATCAAGTCGCCTCTTCAAGGACTCCTGGGAAGTTGCTTGGACTAGCTCAGCTGGCAGCGAATTTCAGCATTTGACAACTCTTAAGGAGTAGAAGTTGTGCCTGGAATCCTTTCTGATATGTTGTATCTCCAAATTCTGGGTGTTATCTCTTGGGTTAGTATTGAAACTAAGCTTAATTAGGTGTTTAAGAGGATGTCTAGAAGTATTAAGGATACTGTAAGACATCAGAAAGTCACATTTAAGACGCCTATACTCTAATGTGTAAAAGTTAAGTGATTGGAGGCGCTCTTCATGAGGCTTAAATTTGAGTTCTCGAACTGATTTCGTTGCTCTCCGTTGGATAGGTTCCAGAGTGTCCTCATCCTCTTGCAGTGAGGGAGGAAATACCGTTTTCATACTCTAATTGGGGATGAATAAAACTGTTGAAGATTACGTGGAAAGTTCTTCCATCAAACTGGCCAATACTGCGCTTCAATGTTACCAGTGCAAGGTTTGCTCGAAAGGCATTTCTGTCACAGTTAGTGTAAGACTTCAAATAGTAGGACACCAGGACTTCTAAATCTTTTTCGACTCGGGATAGTGCTAGAGAGGAGTTTCTTAAGGTGTAACTGTAATCTGCCACGTGTCGCAGATGGAGTACTTTATACTTTGAAGTGTTAAAGGTAAGTCTGTTGTCGTCTGCCCAACTTTGAAGTCGAGTCAGATCCTCCTGAAGTGCCTGTATATCCTCTTGGTCGCGTATCTCTCTCCAAAGTTTCACGTCGTCGGCGATACCTTTTGAGGAAGATCATTTATACAAGTTAAGAAGAGAAGAGGTCCTAGTACTGAACCCTGGGGGACCCCACTAGGACATTCCATAGCCTGTGATAAATCGGACTTTACTCTGACCTTAAAACGTCGATTTTTCAGATATGAATTGAGTCAATCAATTAAAGGTGGTTTGATACCCAATTGTCTGAGCTTATTGACAAGACATATGTGGTTAATCCTATCAAAAGCACATGAGAAATCAATGTGAATGATATCCACCTTCTTTTTGCGATCAAGGATGCCTGTACATCTGTCCATCGCAGTCGGAAGGTTGGTTATACGAGAGTAAACTTTCCTGAAACCATGCTATTAGGATGAGAAAAAATTTTAGGACAGTTAATAGTCATGTATACCATCGCATATCAGGGACTGCATGATTTTTGAAGGTCTAGAAAGAAGAGCCACTGGTCGGTAACTTGAAGGTTCACTGCGTCGACCTCCTTTAAAAATTGATGTGACATGAGCGAGCTTCCAATTCTCCGGTAGTTTACCTCGAAGTAGCGAATGTGAGAACATCACGTAAAAGTTTAAGACAATAAAATCAAAATGTTCAAAACGGATAAAACCGGATGAAAAACACCGAATTTTAACCTCTAGGCAGACTCACTGGATCAAAAATGGCACTTTTGTTGTGTAGGGACACAACATAAGCAAATCACATCAGATCTGATGTAATTCGAACTAAAATGCCCGTTCGTTAGGCGTGACTTATGTGTGGTGTTTTCACATCTTGTGCTCTAAAATAATGGAGCGAAAATGTAAACTGTCCCAAAACCAGGAAAGATTTCCTGCTTACCAAATTCAGATTCTAATAAACATAGCCTACTTGCGTTAACCTTGTCCGATTTTCGAACACATTAGAATAAAGCGGGGAAATGAGTTCGGATGCTCTACCATGTGATGACTTCCTTCAGTCAGCAGTAAGCTAGCCTATGATATTCCAAACTGTCTTTAATGACATGGAACTCACGATAATTAACTAGAGGCTCCTCAATCTGTGGAGGAAATCTGATGACCATGTGCGATATGAACTCAATTCAGAACTACCTACAGCGTCATTCGTCAACAAGGTAGACTATGCTAGCAAGTGTAATACATTTGTCAATAAAGTAAGCGAAACAGTGACTCCTGTAATTATGAAAGATGCTTATGGGTCATGAGAAAAGAACTAAGGCGATCAGAGATTGCATCAAACTATCCGCTGAGAAACTTATCGCATTGCAACGTTCCTCAGAGCTCAGTAATGAATGCAATAAGGAAGTTACTCGTGACATTCAAAAGAGACAACACCTGGTATTTTTTCATATTATTGTTAACATCTTGTAGCTAAGACAATTCCAAGCTGAACTTTTGAATGAGGAAGTTATCCAAACTTCGGCGTTTAAAGTAATATACGAACGCTGTCGTGAGCATTTCCGACATCCTGTTTTTGACAAATTCCGAGACTATGATTTGTAGCCTCGTTCGTCTTTCATTCAGTGTTTTTTAGTGACTTATTGTCTAATAGATATGTTTTCGAATTTGTATATTTTTGTTTTGTAGTCACACTGATCAGTTCAGGTAAACTTTTTAGGTCTCCGACTAGCATTGTATTCAGACATGTCTACTGATATATTTATCACTCTCAGATTTTTAGCTATACTCGAACTAGGTGATTCTACATGATCTACAAATTTATTCCAGTTGAATATGCAATCAGTTTGGAACTGCAATTCAGAGATTTAGGCTTCTAGATTTGTTTGGGTGAACGTACTTATTTCAGATTTCTGGATAACAAAATAAAACACTGGAAATGTTGGAGTGTCTAGTGGATGGTATCGTACATCGGGAAAGTGTGGTTTTTGGTCGTTAAGGTATTCGAAGTTTACATGCGCTACTAGTTGGTGTCACTCGTTTGTCACATAAGGGTTCATGTACTCAGCTTTGAGCTGCATAGTAATAATATGGCTGACCAAATGGACAGTTTTTAAACCTGTTAGGTAAGAGTACCGTTGAAACCGATAAGTTACTCCTCTATGTTAAATTATGTTAGCAGTCGTCACTAGGACCTGTGGCTAGTTGGCCGTTTTTGTTTAGGTTGATAAATCCTAAAAGCATGTGCTTATCTTAAAGATAAAGGTCACTTTGTTTATGCAACATTTTTTTGATTAAATATGCTGGACGAACTGTTACTACATGATTATGTATTCAGTTTTCCACTTTGGTAGCTTCGTACGATATTTCGTTCTCCGGTTAATAATAGATTTGAGGATGTGGATGTCTCTGTTGTCACCAAATTCAGAGGTAGCACATAAATATACCATCCACAGTAGAAGTCTCAGTGAATCTAAATCTTACCACCATTTAGTCTAAGGATTTTACCTCTACTGTTATTTCTACATTGGCGTTCTCGTCTGGTATACTAATCATGGCCACAAGTAAACGAGAATATAAAAATTTAGATGAACAAAAAATAATATGTCCCAAGAAAAGTAGTAACGTTTATAACCAAAGCAAGACTGACTTACAATAACTCGTTGAAGGATACTCTATCTTCAAATACAACACAGAAAGAAATAAATCATAGATTCTGTTCACTAAGTTTAAATGTATTTCAATTGCATTTAGCTATTAGACTTAATACATTTTTCTTGTAAGGGTTATTTCACTATGATTTTGCATCGATTAATAATTACTTAATAGGTCTCCGTAATTAATAGTCACTAAATTAATACATAACCGAGTCATCTTGTGTTTACAGTTAATCCCCATTGATTTTGTCCAATACCTTTTGTTAACGAAGTTTTTACTTCTGAATAGCGGTGGGGAGATGAAGCTAGTAAAGCTGTTAAATATAGTATCTCAGTTGTATCTGGAGTTTTCACCGTTTATCCTGCACCTGTAACATCAGAATTATCGGTGAACAACTATTTGGCTACAGAAGGACAGTTCACTTCCCAGCCTTTACACTGGTCTCTGATTTTAAAAGGATATTACATCAATTCTTACTTTTTAAAACTTGTGACATTAGCCTCTAGATATCTCTAATAGTTAAGCGAATTTACCGTCAATTTCTTCTAAGTTGCTTGTTATGATCGCTGCCCTAGACAAAATCATTAAAAATCTCCGTTGTGTAAATCAGTGCGATATACGAGCAAACAATATTATCCCCGATTAGAACAGGCGAAAATTTACCCCCTAACTTAAACAATAAACAAACTAATCATATTCTTCTGATTCGGTTTGGGCACCCGGGCAGTATCGCAGCCCTCGCACAAATAAAATGATATTTGTGTGGCCCATATGTATTTGGTGCCTCGTACCAACAACTATGTTTTCAAATAAATAAAACACTGCTACTCTCCTAGATACACAGGTTTTTGAGAATAAAAAATCAAACATGCAGAGGAAAATCGGTCTTTTATACTCAGTTATCAACTGTACTGCATAGAGTTAAGTACCATTACTGTTCGCGCAGTGTAACCAACGAGTAGTGTTGACGTTCAACATGAAGTTTTATATATATATATGATCTAATAAGACTGCACGAACAGTGACTATTAATTACGGAGACCTATTAAGTAATTATTAATCGATGCAAAATCATAGTGAAATAACCCTTACAAGAAAAATGTATTAAGTCTAATAGCTAAATGCAATTGAAATACATTTAAACCTAGTGAACAGAATCTATGATTTATTTCTTTGTGTGTTGTATCTGAAGATAGAGTATCCTTCAACAGACGAGTTATTGTAAGTCAGTCTTGCTTTGGTTACCGTCAGGTTATATCACAGCACTGAAAGTTGCCTATCAAAAACTACTTTAAAAAAGACATTATACTTCAATCTGAAGTGTGGGTATGGTTTTTGAAGCCAATAAGTAAGAATCCAAATATTAGACCATAATTTCTTCCAAAGACCACTAATATCCTGAGCTCAGGGTGACTACGTGTACATTTATATATAGAAAGTGATACAAACGAGGTAGTGAATACACAACAATTAGTGTCCCCAGTCACTGCCTACCTGATGCGAGATAGAGAATGGTAAAGTCATTAAGAAAATTTTTATCACAGAAAATAAAACAAAATATGGTACTAAATTACGAAGTTCTTGATCTGATTAGCACTACAACCTGAAATACTCATTGGTTGGAGCTTACAACATGGAAGAAATTGGGTGCAGAACTACGATAAACTGACTATATAGCTCTTGATTTATAAACAAATTTTACTTTTAAGCCCATCAAATAGTATGCAATAATTTGTATACTCGACAGTGGATTATAACTTAGGATACTGGTGAAGGGTTTGTTTTCAGTATCAAAGGGCAATACTGAATGGATTTCTTGACAAGTACGTTAATAACTCCAGATACTATGATTAATCATTCATGTGCCAAAACGGTTGAACCACGTATCTGCATTAACTGACCACTCAAAACCGAAACATCCGCTTCAACGTCTACATAAAGACTAATACGCAGACCATAGGAAGCATGTCGAGTCCCAAAGTTCAGAAACGAGTAAGCTTTCGATGTTTATGTTTTACTAGGACAAGCTGAGAATACACGAAGCTCTAAGTGAAGATACGACTCAAAAGATCTCACGACTAAATTCATTATTTTGTTGACAAATCTATAGACGCGTTTTCACACCACGGATGCCGAAGTCAACTGCTTAAAACCCTTAGGTCTAATCTCGATACATTTTGTCTAGAATGAGTCAGTACTATTACAGCTTAGGAGAGCATTTAATAATTAGCCGTGAAAGTAGAAAAGCATTTTCCTCTATGATATGACTCCCTAAAAACTTGAAGTAATGTGATTGGATTTGCCTCGTGACTGCCCATGATAATTATTAAAAAGATGGGATAATAACTTACAGTTAATTTACACGATGTGGTGTTTATTTCAGATGAATGAGTATGGACACGACTTTCGTTATCTGTTACGAAAACTAGTGAGACGTGACCTTCCAAGTGATGTATGTACCAGTTAATAGCAAGCCAATTCATCCTGTCAAAAAGTTTAACAGTAGCAGTGTACTCTGCTTTGAGTCATTTTGAATTTGAGATTTCTCGAAGTATCTGGTCGTGGCTGCATTGACCACATATTTATCATTCGTCAGGTTTTGGAACATAGACTTGCTTATCGGCGTCCGACAATAGTGGTGTTTCTTGACCTAAAGTCAGCATGTGACTCTGTAGACCGAGAGGTTCTATTGCAGTATCTGTCATCGAAAGGTGTACCCCAGAAGTACATAAGCCATATGGGGACTTTTCTTTGACATTACCAGTCAAGTTAGCGCTTATGGCGAAGTGTCACCTGATTTTACAACTTCAGTTAGAGTCCAGCAGGACTGTTCACTGTCTCCATTTTCGCTCATTCTGATCACAGACCTTTAGTGGCCCGAGATCTGACTCCATTTTGATCGTATGAATGATTGCTATCGTCTATCCTCGTATATAATCATTGACTTAAATCGCGTTAGTTAATAACGGAATTAAATAAGTCAAATAACGAGAATGGAGTTTTGAATGCATATATTTTGTATAATTGTTGATTAGACAAACGAACGGAGGAACGATGCGAAGATGAGAAAGCGAAGCTAAATTGGCGCGCGGTGGAGATGGCTGGTAAGCCAACTCCCCAGTTAACCAAGCGTTAATCAATATTTATAAGCACAAAAAAATAAATTACAGACATATGATGACTAACGGGATAAGAAGTGTACATACGCCTACGCGCTCATACAAAGACAGTCAAGATATAGATAAGCGAATAATTAACAAGGTCAGAATGTGACTCAAATAGAATGGGCTGTCCGAAAGTTAGAATAAGGTATTTGGGCTTAACATAATGACAGACCTACTGCTGGAAATAACATTTTCGGGAATTGATCTCAACAGGAGGTGCACTTATCGACTTTGAATATAGATGACATAGTCCTGTTTGATGAAGACGCTGGTAAAATACAGAGCATTCGGTAGCACTGAGCAATAATGCAAGGATATTTGAGATGCGTTTCTCCTCCTCTAAATGCCATTTCTTGCTTTAGGACTGGCTTGCATCAACACTTGAACTAAGGATAGGGAGTGAAGTAGTCGAACGCGTCGAAACTCCTCTTGTACGTCTGTTCTGACCTAATGCGTTGGTGTCTGACGAAATCTCTGCACAGATTCAGAAAGCCCGTTTGGCTTTTGCCAACTTACTCCACCGGTGGCGAAGGTGAGATATCCGTCCATCCATTAATAGACGAAAATACTGCGTAGCAGTTCGTTCTGTTCTACTTTACGGCTGCGAAAAGAGGCCATTAAGAGTTAAAATATTCGTAATTTGCTAGTATTTGACCAAAGATGTCTCTGAAATATTGCTCGCATACGCTGGGATCATCGGGTAAGTAATAGCGACGTATTAAGGAATGATGGTCAGTTGATGAGGTTGAAAATCTTCATCGACTTAGATGAATGGGCCAGGTA